CTTTGGCATACGATCTGCTAAGATTCGTGTGTTGCAACTACGACTTTTCTTATTATTTAAAAAGAAAAGACTGTTTTGAGTGAGAGATGAAGTTCAGCAAGACATGTATAGAATTACATTTCGTATAGCAGAACACAATAGAAGCATCATGAAGAAAACTTCTTAACGATCTCATCATTGCAATATTTTTTCTTCTTAAATTGACGTAAACAATCGCTCTTTACACCATTAAGCCTTGGAATGTAGCGCAATTTTCGATCCTTCTCTTACATCCTCTGACTTTATCTTATCTTCTTTCGTTTTGTTAGATAAAATGTTAATTTACTGGTAATATACAATAGGCAACAACTCGATCGTATTGCCGTAATTCACAGCTGTAGTAATATCATACCGCTTATATCATATGTTGGATGGGCTTAATTGTAGAAGGCCAAGCTTACTTTTACTATTCTGATACAAAGGTAAATACCTCATTTTGCTCTGGAATGTCTACCTTTTAAATTATATAGCTTTGACATATGTTAGAACCTCAAGACCTCTGACTCTTTATTTTGCAGCTTGAAAGGTATCGACAAATTAATGTTGTACGTACCGTACTATGATTTCTGTACCCATAACACTCCTGTCACTATGCTTCTCTCTATGTAAGCCAATAGCCCGCTGGGAGCGAGCAAAACGTGGTGAGGGTGTCACTTGACCTAAGCCTTCCTCAGAAAAGTGTGTTTACACGGACGGGCAATTCCCGTTACATTCATTCCAGTATATAGTACGACAGAAGTACTTAGTATCACTTCGGGTCCGCCCTCCCGTCAGCGACTGGTCCACCCATTCTTCTTTTCTGTATGAGCTCCGTTGCACTGGGTAGCACTTGTCTTTAACCCAACGAATGAATCTAAATAAACTCATATTTAGTTAGTGCTGTACTATTGTGTACTCACAGCTTTCACTTTGTTCAATTGTGCAAAAAAAAATTACAACTGAAATGATTTCACATTGCATTTTCTGTAACTTTAGATCTTCTCAAGTGCCGAAGTTTTGGTATTGATCAAGATGGTGGGAGCTGTTATAGTAACGCCGCTTTGTACTGTTGAGTAGCTATATGTCTATATACATGCATAAAGACATGTATATATATACAGATAGCGAAAACATCGATAACAAATATTATGACATGTGTTCATACAGAAAACAATCTGAAGTTATCTTAGTGTTTAACGGAAGAACAAGTCAGTCGCAACGCACGGTGTACAAAGAACGCTATTGATAATGGTAGGCGCAGTTACACCTCGAGAGAGTTTGTTATTTAAGATGACGATGAGCATATCGCAGCCGGACGGGAGCAACTGTGAAAAAGAGCATGTGCAAGATCAGGACTTTGTTTGGCAGTAGACTACTCTGGCAGACACAGCAATTCATAGACGTGAACTTTGAGTCCGGCAACACCAACCAAATCAGTCTTTATAAATAGCAGCAAAATCCCAAAGTCTCTTGGAGGGCCAAGAAGCGTCGTCTGTTAATGGACCGCTTCAAGAAATGTCAGTGACTGCAAGTGTTCAAGACGAAGTGTGTGAAGCGACCTAGGTTGTGGGTTCAGCAGGAATATGCCGATCACGCTCTAGTCGGCAGTAGAAATCGATTATTTACGCAAATACAAGACGTGTACATTAATTCCATTGTACCAGGATCAAAATGCATTTGGTTTTGGTGGGTGTTTTGAATCAAGGAGAACCAATCGTAGATCCAGCAATTTTAGACAAGACTTGATTTTGTGGGTCTTGACTTTGACGATCCGGTCCTTGCAAGCAATAATGTCATGCTGCTAAAGTCGACGACGTTTGTGCTGATAGAACACTTCGAGTTGAAGGACTAGGGCGCCGAAAGTGCTGTCTTGGTAGGAGATGTGGCTGATGAAAAAGTATTGGCTCGATACACCAAGTTTGCTGAGGAAATTTTGAGGAATTTTGGAATGGAGAATAGAAAAACCTTTAAGATCAAGGACCCAAGATATGCTGAGGAGGTTAGAAGCTCGAAGAGACCAAGTCCGCGGTAACTGTCTGATGTACCTCTCTATTGGGAGTTGGCTGGACCTCGCTGCTGGGGTGGGCTTTCTCAGCCGGTTGGCGGTAGACACATGCTTAAAACCTGGTAAAGTGTGTGCTTCGTTATATTCAAGGCACAAAAACGCATGGCATCGAGTTTTAAAGAAGACGTAAAGAAGAACTCAAACGTCACTCGGATGGAAACTGGGCTGAACGCATCAAAACCCAACGCAGTACAAAAATATCGCGCTCATCATAAACATGCTTTAGTTTAGAAAGCAAAACATCAACGCAAGGATCGATGAGTACATGACGCTAACGGAAGCTGTAAGAAAATGACATAGCTTAACTTTTGCGAGATTGGCAAAATGATTGACAATGATTCAGCCAAAATATCCCGAGTTTCACAAGCGCACCAAGCACATTGCCATCCGCTATCACTTCGTGCGCGAAATGGTTGAAGACGATCAAATGAAGTTGCAGTAATGTCTGACGGAGGATATGATGGGGGGTCTAATGGTTAAGCCAGTCGCCACAGTGTAGTTTGAAAGTTTCCAGGACAAACTTGGACCAAGCATGACCGAGTCGAGTATGGTCAGTTGGTAAAAATTGCTGATACATGTGGCACTTCCGCTGAAGATGTACGGCCAGAATAGTATCCAACGATAGGAAAGCGACGCAACATTCGTTGATTAAGAGTAGGGTATAGATACAGTGGAGTGAATTTGAGATTCACTAGAACCTTCTAGAACCTTCTAGAAAGTCAAAAATTTACAGCATAGCAAATCGATTTGCGTACTAAGGACAAGAATATTTATTCACTATGCGTTTTGCAAGCTACAGCACAAGTGCCTTTGACAACAAAAATGAGTCCTTAATTGAGAAAGCGGAGCCACCACACTACCTTTTCAGTCTCCCTAAACCGACATGATTTCTCGTGCTCTAGGTAACCACGAAATCGATAGCGTCCCGAGCGCGCGTCAAACTTGGACCGCCTTTTTTGCAGATATACGTACGCTTGGTAGCCGAACACCTAAAGTGGTTTCTTACCCGACCATAATCGATAGGGTAACGTGTCGTGGTAGACAAACGCGTGTTGGTCACCTTTCTCGAAGATATTAAGCTATCATCACGGATTCATCTCAGTACGATACTGGCAACCATGCATACAGCGAGTATATTATTTAAACGTGCGATGCAAACACCTGGTAGTTCCATTAAGCTGAGGGCATAAATGTTTTTCAATTTTGCCTCGTTCTGCACAACAC